TTTACAGGCTAGACTGCTTATCAGAATGTAAGATTAAGGATTTAAAATTTTATATTTGAGTACTTAAGATTGAGCTTGAAATCTCACAGCCGTGGCCACAGCCATAACCGTGTTTTTGGAGATATTTGCAGCCGCCCCGGCCCACAGCCGTGGGGCTGCAGCCGGCCGGTGCAGACCTCCACAGTGGCCTCTTTGAACATGCCCTATCTGCAGCCAGATTGCCACCTTTGGACCATATAATCCCTGGATATTATTACCTCTGACCCATGCAAGGCACTGGCCATTTAGAACACTGGACACATCGTGCCCTGGACATTATGAACCCCGGCCTAAGTAATAGGGGAAGTTGGGGCAATGCCGGAGTTGGGGCAAAGCCGAAATTCGAGATATTTCTAAAACCGTACGACATGGATGCCACGTCTCAGTGATGCTCTGAAGCTTAAGTGACTACAATTATCGCATGTTTGTTACGAGTTGTCATCATAGGCGGCGGAACGATTTGAGACAAGGGGGGGGCACCAGCTCAAGGAGCCAAACCTAGGGTACCCCCAAATCCTGTTTTCTCATCGGATTTAGGCCACTTATTTTTCGTCACAGCCCTGGCACGATAATTTTTTTATTTTTTGTTTTTTTTTTTTTGCTAAACGAAAATGGCAGTTCACCACCGTATGTGTGGTTAACTTTAAGCTGATCCTCAAGTACCTATGTGTTTGCCTCTTCCTTATTGTCGTTTGATAAATTAAATTTATCCTACATGTATCAAATTCCCAAGAAGCCATCGCAGTACTAATCAGTGGCGAATCCCAGGGGGGATGTCACATGGGTCATGACTTAGGGCCTGGGGTCACCACATGCCTGCCAGGAGCACCACAGGCCTGACAGCCGACAGGGGCACCACAGGCCTAGCAGGGGCACCACGGGCCTGTCAGTGGCACCACAGGCCTGTCAGGAGCACCATCGGCCTAGCAAAAGCACTACAGGTCTTCCAGGGGCACCACAGACCTGCCAGGGGCACCAGAGGCCTGCCAGGGGCACTATCGGCTTCGCAGGGGAACCACCGGCCTCGCAAGGGCACCATTTATTTATTTATTTATTTATTTCACATCGTGACTGTCCTTTCCATCATACAATGGCTGTTCTTGGCAGTCGTGTCCAATAATCACGGAATTGGGAATCGTATGCACATCATTCAGGACAGACAAACAATATACGACCATACAGCGTGTAAAAATATACCTCATCATGCAGTGTTCTTCTTAAACAGGGAGAACTAGTCATCGCCATACTGTTCCCTCAGCAGCATCGCCCGGTACTCCTTCTTAAATCTGTGCAGGCCTAGCTCGCGGAGTGCTGCTGGGAGGCTGTTATACATGGTCACAGCGCTATACAGAAATCGACGGCGGCCGGCCTCCGTTCGGATCATAGGCGTGTCCAGATGATCGGCTTGTCGAGTGCCGCGGCCATGCACGCTCCCTCGACACGCTATACTAGCACGCAGAACCTCGGGCTGTCCCGTGGCGAGCATCTTCTTCAGCAGCATGACTGATTGAAATCGCCACAAGTTCTCAGCTGAGAGCCATCGCAGTTCTCTCATGACGTCACTTATATGATCGAACTTTCGGCGACCCGAGACAACGCGAGCGCCGAAGTTCAACAGCCTCTGAAGCCTACTGGTCTGCGTGACACCGCAGACACCGTAAACACTGATGGCGTACCGAATCGTTGACACAGCCAAAGCCTGCACGAGCGTGACTAGCGTGTCCCTGGGTAGGTAGTGTCTGGTGTGGCAGAGGCCACTCAACACTCCTGTACAGCGGCGCACAACCTCGGATACGTGAGTGTCAAACGACAGGTGTGCATCAAATGTGACGCCAAGGTTCTTCGCCGTCGGTGACTGCTCTATGGTGGCGCCCATAAAATCGACCGTGATGGGTGGAAGTTGCCGTGTGTTTTGGCGTGTGCCGATGACCAATAATTGAGTTTTGTCTGCGTTAACTTTGAGACCGTTTTTACGAAGCCAAACTGCGAGCGCTGCTAAATTTTGCTCCATGCACGCCACCAGAGCGTCAGCGTCCCGGGGGCTACCGAACACGGCCAACTGAGTGTCATCACAGTACTGCACTAGACACGTGGCATGCGAGACACTCTCAGGCTGAAACAACGGCATGTCATTTGCATATGCACTGTACAACAGGGGGCCCAAGGCGGATCCCTGGTAGGTGCCAATGGGGTTGGCCAATGGTTGAGAGAGCATGCTACGACCGTCCGGTGTCCGCGTCACAACCTGTTGAAAATGGTCACCGAGATAGCTAGCAAACCAGCGAGTATCGACACCATACTGTTGGAGTTTCTCCAGTAGCCGGTCGTGAGGGATGACGTCGAAGCATTTGGACAAGTCCAACATGCACAGCAACGCCACCTGCCTCCGGTCCATCGCCTCAAACATCCTGTCAGTCATGGTGAGGAGTGCTGTCTCTGTCGAGTGGTTTGTGCGGAACCCGTGCTGACATGTGGAGAAAAGGTGATGTTCGGTGAAGTAGGAATAGAGCTGCTCATAAACGATTCGCTCTGTGATTTTGGCTATAGTAGGAAGGATAGCTATGGGCCGGTAGTTTGAAGTGTCAGTGGACCTGGGGCTCTTTTGGATAGGATGGATTAGTGTCATTTTCCAAGGTCGCGGGACTGTGTGAGAGGCCAGACTGGAATTAATAATATGTGTTAGAACATGTGACACAGCTGGGAGACAAGACTTTATAAAGCGCACACACAGGCCATCTGCACCACTCGCTGAACTGTTGCTCATAGCGGCGACAGTGCTGACTACTCGCTCCGGTGTAACCGTCTGCACCACAAAACCGCCGGCGACAACTCGCGGCAGGCGCACCGGCAGCTCCGGCCCGGTCGAGTCAACCTGACGGGCGATCCGAGTGCCGATGCTAGCAATATCGGTTCATGTCGTCGGGACTGGCACTCGGAGCCGACCTCGACGCTCTGCCACCCGAGACCACGCTCCGCACCGATTGCCACATACTGCCCCTGCCGTTCTCCTGGATCCGCCTCTGGATGTCTTGTCGGCTGTCCCGGCGGATAGCAGACTTGACCTGCCTGTTGAGTTCCCGGTACCGGTCACGGTCGCCGTCACGGAGACAGGAGCGTCGCTCGGAGAGCGTCTCACGGAGACCATGGGCCTGTCAAGGGCACCACAAGCCTGTCGTTGGCACTTTAGAATTGTCAGGGGCACCACAAACCTGTCAAGGGCACCAGCGTTCTAACAGGGGCACCACAGGCTCGCCAGGGGCACCACAGATCTGTCAAGGCCCAGGGACACCACAGGTCTAGAAAGGACACCACAGGCCTGTCAGGGGCACCACGGGCCTGTCAGGGCCCATGGGCACCTAAGTCATGTCAGGGCCCACCATAGGCTTGTCAGGGGGCAGGGTAGGTAGGTACCAAAGTCTTTCCAGGGGCACCAGCGGCCTAGCAGGGGCACCAGTCATCACATGACTAACCAAAAATAAAGAAAATAAAAAACTGAAAATAGGGCACCACCAAAATTAAGTGGCCGAAATCCGTTGAGGTTTTAATTTTGGGTATAGGTAGGGGCACCACTTCGATTCATGATCCTCCCCTTGGAGTTTTCCCGAATCCGCCCCTGGTACTAATGCATCAAATTTAAGGGGGGGCACCTTGCTATTGGTGCCCCCCTTGCAGAATTCAAGGGGGGGGGCACGGTGCCCCGGTGCCCCCCCCGTTCCGCCGCCTATGGTTGTCATTTGGAATACTTCGGCTGTGAGGGCGCCAAAAGTGTTTTCAAGGTACGTTTCCCTTGTACTACATGCGCCTTTGAAGCTGCATTTCTTACTCATTATGCTACCGTTTGTCTGGCCAATTCGGTCAAGTAATCTTCAGCATGTCTTTGCATAAGTGTGCTGCCTATTTGAAATTTATACAGCACGTTTAAAAGTTATGGGCCTGCAAATGAAAGTATGGCTGGCTGGGGTAATGCCGAAAACGTGCAATTACGCACGTTAAAGCACGCTACGTGGACTTTACTGCTGTAGAATAGCAACGCGTATTTTTAGTCAAACAAATTACACTTTCAGCCGGCACAACGGCCTGTTACCTATAAGGAATGATTTACCTAGCATTTTTATTATTATATCACACAATTATAACTTCCAGTGTGCACCAAGCGTCCTCAAGCTCTTAAAACGCGTGTCAGCTTTGATGAATTTTGGATAAAGTTTGAGATAAATTGGCAAAACATCAATGTCGGCATTCCTCGTAGATCATTTATCCCATTTTCGGCTTTCCCCGCAGTCCGGGGCAACGCCGAAAAAGTCAGTTCTTTGATATTTTTAGTTTTTGCGCTTAACGGTATGCGAATTCATCAAATGCGCCTGGTATGTTTGAAAGACAAAAGACTGGCCTCTCGAATGACGCCAACAAGAATAGCTTATGTTGTCTACCTTGCGTGCTACGGGCGTCAGAAAAAAAGTATTCGGCGTTCCCCCAACTTTCCCTACGCATCCTTAACTACTACGGCTCTCTGTGTCTAAACCAAGTTAAATAATATCATGCGTAGTCAATCCGGCTTCTTTTTTGTTTTGTTTTTCGTGTTCCTAGCAGGGAGTGCCGCGCCCTTTTCAACTTTGATTCTTTGATTTTGATTTTGGTGTTAACGTAAGGGTTTTGTGCGTCGCTGGGACTGAAGGTGGGGGCATTCCTGGTTGCCTGGTCATTGGTAACGCATTATAAGATTTTTTTCTTAAAAAAAAATAATACGCAACGGCTAGAAAACACTGCCGGTGCGCCATAATTGACTGCATTACTCTTATCCCAGCGACCAATCAGCTTGCCAGCATCCCAGTGACGTCATATTGGCAGCAGTTGGTTAAATATTTTGGTGTATATGTGCCTCTATGGCGATATGACCCTCAGGGCGGCGGCGGACGGCTGGCGCTGATGGATCACGCTCTCACCCGCTCTGTGATCGGCAGGATAATTATGTGCCTCTTCTGCGGCGACCCGTACTCGGTGGAGAACGTCGTCGGCGCCATCCTCTCCAATCAAACCTGTCAGACCCACCAGCAGAGCTCGGTCATTCTGGATACCTTTCTCGGTGAGTTGGCATTGGAACCGCTCTACTAGGGCCAATGCATGGCGTGAATAACAGGGCCCGTAAATCAGCAGCTTACAATCATATCCCGCGCCCGGGCGGACCTCTCAGCCAACTTGTCATGGTTTGTGTATGGTGGGGGGGGGGGGGAGTATTTGGCTACACCCGATTATCTCGGAAAGTAAGACAGCTCTGGTAAGACGCGAAAAGCTATACCTAGGTAGCTTGTCAAGATCCTTCAGAATTACGAAGGTCATTTTTATTTTGCACAACATTATCACTGAGACCGTTAGAGGTTATCGTAGCCAAAATTATCACGATTTTCCCCAATTTTAAGAGTTTTATTTCAGGCACACTCAACCGAAAATTGGCACCGTGACCAGACTTGTGCCAAGGTCCCAAAAAGGTCCGCGATCCAGGATCCGCAGAATTCAAGGTCTGGGACCTTGATGGATCCGCAGAATTCAAGGTCTGGGACCTTGATGGATCCTGGGCCCAATCTTACCAATGCCGTAAATAGGATTTGGCAGCACTGGCCTGCGTTTACGGCACTGATATCAATGATATCCTTTTTATTTACATCCAGCTAATCTTGTCCAATGATTTTGATAGCGTGAATGATGAATGTTGCCCGAACGAATGAATAAATGAATGTTGAATAGTTTCGTAGGCGTAGGAACAGGGGGGCCAGGTGGGCAAGTGCCCACCCACTTTTCGAGGTGGGGGGGGGGGCCAACCATATGTGTTCTGGCCCACCCACTTTTTACTCGAGGCCCCTCGTCTCGATTTGAGAGGACGTCGTCACCTTCCAGAATAAACAAACTCGGTAAAAATAAGTTCCACGAATCCCCACGCACAGACTCCAAGGGGCCGTGATGGATCCAAGGAGGCCCTCTGTTCATACTTGTCAGTCGAAGCCCCTAAGACTGATGGCCTGAGAGGCCCTAGTGGATCTGAGGAGGCCCCAATATCCACACTGGTCTGGGGAGGCCCCTGACACTGGCGGTCTGGGAGGCCCCTCTATCCACACTAACGGGTGTCTACTAATTAATGAGAAAAGGTTTAAAGGCTTATATCTCGGCTATTTAGTAACTTAGATAATCGAAAATTCGCATGCTTATGCATCCTTCTATTGGTTATCAAATACCTTCAGCGCAGCGCACTGAGTACACCATGTTTCACGTCACGTCGCACGCGCCACCCGACCCCCTTGATAAAACGTCGCGGCACCTCCGCGTCAAACGAGACCGATAATTCTCGCCTTCCCGTCTTCAGATGTCGGTCCAAAGCTACAGTCTTGTCCCCTGGATATATTTCTTTCTTGACAAAGCCTCAGAAGTATTCAATCGGCCACAGCTGCGACACGCAGGGTGGATTATCTTCTCGATCTTTCATGGGTACGCCGACCCTCTCCAAAATTGTGATGGTTTTAATTGCATAATGGACGAAAACTAGGTCAAATCAGAGTGCATAGTCGCCATTTGGGTAGTATTCGTCTTTTTTACCTTGGTGCCCTAAAAGATAAGAAATCAACGCATTTATTTGTCGTCCCTCGCACTATAGAACATCCTCTCAATGATAACTCATTTTGGACACATGACTGGCAGCACCTCCCCTTCCGGAGAGGCCGTTTAGCCGAATCAGTAAGCTGGAAACCGGTAAGGAGACGTGTCCACAGGTTGCAGTTGTATCCCCCCTCACTGGATCATACAAACCGGCAATATATGACATATCTGTTCCTGGGTAAGTCAAACAGCTCTCGTCACCCATTATCATATCAATGCGTTCTCACCAGTTGACAGGTTGCCCCTGATTAGCCAACGCAAACGCTGTTATTCTCTGCGTTGCTGCGCTTGAGTGACCTCAGGTGCCTGTATGCACCTCCGGTGCTCAATTGCACATTTTCTACAGCAAAAATTACGATATAATAGTGGCAAATATAGTGGCGTCACACCAGCAGGCACATTGACACCCCTCACCTTGCCTTTCGCACCCCATCGAAGGGGACCTTGTTTCTGTAGCGAAACTCGCAGAGTTGCAGCCACTTCAAACCTTTTCCAGCATGCTGAACGTTTCCTCTTATCTCAAGTATCATAAGCATGCTATTGGCACTTGGCTAAAAACCTTTAACTTGCACTACGAGAGCCATAAGTGCCATTTCCGTTGTAGAAAGGTAATTTTTCTTAAAATTGGCGAAGATTGCTTAGAACCGTTGTTTGCTTAACGTTCTCATGGCGACTGACTATGGTATTTAAAGTTTTCGTTTTGCGTGATTGACACCTGTGCATCTCAAGGCTCTATAGGTACATCTGAAGGACCCACACCGACACCTCTGAGGGCCCCACACCAGTATCTCGGAGCTCTGAAGGTCCCACACCGGTGACTCTGAGGACTCACCGGCTCCTGAGAGTACCATGTTGATGTCTAACGGCTCCACAAGGCCACTGAAGGCACCACACAAGCTCTCACTGAGCTCTAATGTCCATGTACCGGCCTCTGAGGGATTTAAGCCAGCGCATTGATAGCTCCACACCAGCAATTGTAAGAGCTTTACACTGAAGTATCTGAGGGTTCCACACCGGTGTCTCTAAGGGCCACCTACCGGCATCTCTGAGGGCCCCATACCGGTGTCTCCGAGGGTCCACATCTGGCGGGCACCCATCAGCGACTGAAGGTCCCACACTGTCGACTCCGAGAGCCCCATCTGCGTCTGGGAGCACCATGCCGTCTCTAAGAACCACAGCGGCTCCTCCGTACGAAAGATGGGCGTCTGCATGCCAAAGGGGAGCGGTTCTGAGACAGTAGGACACCTACGTGCAATAGAGGGGCGCCTATGAAACCCATAGGGGCACATCAATGCGAAAGAGGGGCACCTCTGAGGCCTACATATATGGGCGTCCACATGCAATAGTCCACTGCATTGATCAATGCTATGGGGGTGCATTCATAAGAAACAGAGGCGCCGGCATGGCAAAGAGAGGCGCCTTCAAGTGTCCATAAAAGAGAGACGCCTAGGTATGATAAGCGCACAATGTATGCGACAACGGGGCGACTGTGGGACATATAGGGATGTCTCTCTGATGACTATACATAGGGCGCTTATATGCCAAAGAGGGGGCTTATGAAGCTAATGGGGGCACCTGGGAAACGAGGAAGACATTTGTGTAAGGGTTTTCAGGGGTCATGCGCCGTTTGCGGCAAATAGATTCTAAAAAAAAAAATCTGATGGGGAATAAGTTTTAAAAATGGTGCGGACTTTCCGCACTGTTCGCTTAAGCGGTTACGCCCCTGGGTACATCTGCCCGGTCTCAGAAGCTAGATTTGGAGGTCATACTTGAAAGCAGCCAGCAGGACGAGGCAAAAGTTGGAGGCCCCTGAAAATAGGAGGCCCCCTGGAAAAGGAGGCCCCTTGACAGGGTGGCCCACCGACTTTTCATGACGTTCCTACGCCCGTGACGGTTGGGGACCAGTTAGTAGGGTGCCGTGCAAAAGTCAGTTTGGACCCCGTTTGCACGTGCGCACGTGCAGAATGTCGCTTTCAGATCTCAGGAACGGCTGGGCCGATTGCGTTCAAATTTGGCACACCGCTAGCGACCGGTTAGAAGGGTGCTTTGCACAAGCCCGTTGGAAGTACCCTCTCGCCCTTCCGCACGTGCAGGGCTCACTATCTCGCTCGCTCGTTCTTCGCCCAAAAGGCGTTTTACTGGTATAAGAAATAAGAAAGCCCATATTCTCCCTTTTAAAAGCCGCCTTTTCTTACTTATTATTTTCATTTTGATGAACATGTTTACCCTGTTTACCATGACTTCAACTGGCTGCGGCTGCTCCCACCAACCGAAAACCATCCCCGTCAGGAGTTTCAAACTAGGGTTACCCGCGTGCTCCGCAACGCGAAGAAGGGTTATTGTTGACCCGTGGGTATTGGGTTGGTCTGTATCGATTTGGTTGGTATCCATTTCGTTCGATTCCTTTTTGAAGGCCAAGTATTTTGTAATAAAACAAAAAAGATACATCGCATCGAGGTGCCCGTGTCGTATTATCATGCTTTCAAGAATGATTTGAAAATTGGCGTAAAGTCCTTTGAGGGCCATCGATGAATTTCGCTAAAAATGACAATGTAATGGTTTGGAACATTTACATTTTTAAGAATACTGTTGCTCATCATGCAAAAATGATGAGTGAATATTGGACAGAATTGAATGCTCTTTCCAACGGTGCCATTCTTAATTGCCAGAGATATCAGATCATGGAGCAAAACCCGTGTGATTAATAAAGTGGCACAAAATTGACAAACACCATTTTCTCCCGTGATTTGTACCACCTTGATTTGGATCAATCAGCTTTCCACAATTTTTCCATGAGAGGCGGTACATTTCTCTTGCCAATAGGCGCTGTTCCAACTCGCTCCGTTTAATGGTCACCTACAAATAAAATCAATTCCAAAATCCGTCAAAAACCGCAATTTTTCAACCAAAGCACCCTCACGGGTGCACGTGGCACGTGCCATCCCCTGTACTGCATATCATTCGATAACCTGTTCAATTATCTACATGATGCTGTTTTCCCCGTGCCGATCCGGCCCACGGTTACCGAGATATTGCACGGGGATCGGACCCGTGTCGGGCAAATTTAGCCATTTTCGCCCGATTTTGCAAGCCGATTTATACATGTATAGTCTATGACGCGAATTTGCACTTTTTGAGCACGCGCCACGCGCTCACTAACGACCCGATCGAGCTGAGACCCCTCAAAGGCACGTCGCTTATCTTTGATCTATAAGTTGTGCAAATTTCACCGGGCTAGGTGCAACGGTCTGGCCTGTAGTCCACGCAAAGCACCACCAAGTCGGGACCTCGGTAACGGACAGACGCACCCTCCTCAAATAGTAATATAGATACCGAGCGCAGGGGCGACTCACCCCGGGCTCTCACTACCGGGAGTCCAACGCTCTACCAACTGAGCTACGGAACAGGCTAATGTCATGCCAGTTAGTCAGAAATAGCGTTTGCAGGGTTATTAATTTTTTTCCGGGGCGCTGCTCTATTCTTTTCCGAGCTATGCGTCCGTTTGTCGAAAATTGTCGAAAAAGGCGAAGTTTGGTTTGTGATAAACTCTCGTGGCCCGACCTGTGACCTTACCTAAGGGATGACCAAAGTAATTTCGTCGTTATTTTTACGATCTTCCGAACGCCGCCTACCGCGTGTCGCTACGTGACCCAGGGGCCGAGCTAGAGAGGGTGTTTAAAGGGACCCTCCCACCTTAATATTGGTTTTGGGTTAAGATAGCCAAATTGGGGTCCCTGGCTTGCACTTACCGGTTTGGGCACTCACAACATCGAGAATTGCTTTAATTCGGAGATATTCAATTTCAAACTTGCAGTTTTCACATTCTAAGGGGCTAATGCATTTGAGTGCCCGCTTTTAAGTTGTGATGTCAGCGCACATTTAGCTATTTTTAAATCTTATTCTAAAATCATCGGTGAAACGTGGTGGTGCGCAACATCTGCCGCAAATTTAGGTTGCTACCTTATCCTGCTACCTTATCTGCGCCAACTTAGAACCGACGGGGGGGGGGGGGGGCGAATGACCACAGAGAATCACCCTGAGATCTCGAGAACGAAGCAAAATAGCGACAAGGGGTAAGCGGCATGGGATACACACGGACAAGGTCTACAATTTTTACAAAGGTTATTTTCAGGTCAGGTCGAAGATGACGTCACAGGGGTAAAAAAAAAGTCAAAATGGTGGTGCTAGTTATGGAGAGTTTTTCTCGAATGACTTTCGAACTAGTCAAGATAGGAACAAACTAAGGGCATCATCGTGATCCTCTCGTCATTCCGCATCGAATGATATATATCTTGACCTCGAAAGGTCAAGGTCAAAGGTTGACCTCAGGTCACGTGACCTCGAGGTCATCATGTATATCATTCGATGCCCCTTGACGAGCTGAACACAATGAGACCATCCGCGCGGCTGTGTCTTGTTCCTGTACGGAGTTATTAGCAAAAAACCGCTGGTGACCTTTGATGACGCCACATGACCTTACAGCTGCTCAACAGCAAAACAGACCTCAAGGTAGTAAAAGTTGATCGTATATGAAGTCATGTATGGTTTATGGGGCCATTCCGACCCGTTTTAGTGGTAAAAACAGGGAGTTGATTTTCCCCCATTGACTTATAATGGGGCGGTCGAGAAATTGACCTGACCTTAGGTTAGGTCATCGATATCAAAATTCTGAGATATACAAATTGTAGCTACTAATGACTATAACATCCTTCGACTTTAAAACATCCTGCGACTAAGGCCTCCGACATCTACTGTAGCTCTGGCACGGTGACAAAGTTGCTAAAAAGTGACTTGAGGTTGGGTCATTCAAAGTTACGTGGTGACCTGACGTTGAAAGTTAGGAGGTTCAAACTTGCACACAGTGTGTAAAATTGATGGGAGCATAGTCGTGCCAAATTTCGCGGCGCTACGCGCCGTGGTTTTCCTGCTATCTACGAAAAACCTCAGGGGGGGGGGGGGCGGATATCCCCCCGGTCGGTGCGCGGGTTATTGCTTCCAACTGGCGTCGTAGGAACAACGGTGGTTCCAAAAAGTAAACAAAAGTAAAAGTCTAATATCTTGTTAACCAGTGATTTTTTTCGACTTAATTTGGTAGATATTCATTTTTGATCTTTCTGAATCAGGTGACCTTTCTGAATCAGGTGATATCAGGTGATGAATCAGATTTTTGATCTTTCTGAATCAGGTGATATATATATATATATATATATATATATATATATATATATATATATATATATATATATATATATATATATATATATATATATATATATATATATATATATATATATATATATATATATATATAACATATATATAACGGGCAAATGTCCAATCGACAGGGACGCCTATAAACTCAACCACTCAAAATGTTGTTTTTTCGCTGGTATTGCTGCGTTTTGCTTACTCCCAGCTGTTGCAGATTAACTGCTGGAGCTCTTAAGAAAGAACCATGCGGAAAGCCTGGTCACGAAGCTCAGAAGCTTCTTGCTTCACCATGATTGCCTTTTGCAGCTCGGGCCAAAAACGGAATAGGACTTCTCTTCGCTGACTTCGTATAGCAATGGAATTGAGTCGTGGCCGGTCAGCAATAGCACTTACTGTTCAAGTATAGCTAAATGATGTTCTTTAATAGTTGTCGTCCTTGCATCTCATAAGAATCAAGCGTATTCGTACCTTGGAACACAAAATATGTCTTCGGTCAGTGCTGGGACACCCTGTACAGAGTAGAGTATGCCGGTGCAATGGCAAACTTGATCCAAATTGGATTACTCGGCGCAGTGCCTGTCTGAACCGCCGCTCCTCTATGCCAGGGGACTGCCGAAGGCGGGTGGAGGTCATCATCAGCTCGTACCACGGCGCCGCCGCCTACCAGGACGAGATGGTGCACGGATTCATCCTGGTCTACAGCACCAAGCGGCGCGCCTCGCTCAATAACCTGAAGTGGGTGCCTGGGGCTGGCGGGCGCTCAGCACGGGCCGGGTCTCCCGCCTCTGACGCACTCCCTGTGTCCCCCTTACAACGTGTTTGTGTCCCGTCTCTGACGCCCTGTGTCCCCCTTTCAACGTGTTTGTCTCCCGTCTCTGACGCACTCCCTGTGTCCCCCTTACAACGTGTTTGTCTCCCACCTCTGACGCACTCCCTGTGCCCCCCTTACAACGTGTTTGTCTCCCGTCTCTGACGCACTCCCTGTGTCCCCCTTACAACGTGTTTGTCTCCCGTCTCTGACGCACTCCCTGTGTCCCCCTTACAACGTGTTTGTCTCCCGTCTCTGACGCACTCCCTGTGTCCCCCTTACAACGTGTTTGTCTCCCGCCTCTGACGCCCTGTGTCCCCCTTACAACGTGTTTGTCTCCCGCCTCTGACGCACTCCCTGTGTCCCCCTTACAACGTGTTTGTCTCCCGTCTCTGACGCACTCCCTGTGTCCCCCTTACAACGTGTTTGTCTCCCGCCTCTGACGCCCTGTGTCCCCCTTACCTACAACGTGTTTGTCTCCCGCCTCTGACGCACTCCCTGTGTCCCCCTTACAACGTGTTTCTCTCCCGTCTCTGACGCCCTGTGTCCCCCTTACAACGTGTTTTCTCCCGCCTCTGACGCACTCCCTGTGTCCCCTTTACAACGTGTTTGTCTTTCGCCTCTGACGCACTCCCTGTGTCCCCCTTACAACGTGTTTGTCTCCCGCCTCTGACGCCCTGTGTCCCCCTTACAACGTGTTTGTCTCCCGTCTCTGACGCACTCCCTGTGTCCCCCTTACAACGTGTTTGTCTCCCGCCTCTGACGCACTCCCTGTGTCCCCCTTACAACGTGTTTGTCTCCCGCCTCTGACGCCCTGTGTCCCCCTTACAACGTGTTTGTCTCCCGCCTCTGACGCACTCCCTGTGTCCCCCTTACAACGTGTGTCTCTCCCGTCTCTGACGCCCTGTGTCCCCCTTACAACGTGTTTGTCTCCCGCCTCTGACGCACTCCCTGTGTCCCCCTTACAACGTGTTTCTCTCCCGTCTCTGACGCCCTGTGTCCCCCTTACAACGTGTTTTTTCCCGCCTCTGACGCACTCCCTGTGTCCCCTTTGCAACGTGTTTGTCTCCCGCCTCTGACGCACTCCCTGTGTCCCCCTTACAACGTGTTTGTCTCCCGCCTCTGACGCCCTGTGTCCCCCTTACAACGTGTTTGTCTCCCGTCTCTGACGCACTCCCTGTGTCCCCTTTACAACGTGTTTGTCTCCCGCCTCTGACGCACTCCCTGTGTCCCCCTTACAACGTGTTTGTCTCCCGCCTCTGACGCCCTGTGTCCCCCTTACAACGTGTTTGTCTCCCGTCTCTGACGCACTCCCTGTGTCCCCCTTACAACGTGTTTGTCTCCCGCCTCTGACGCACTCCCTGTGTCCCCCTTACAACGTGTTTGTCTCCCGCCTCTGACGCCCTGTGTCCCCCTTACAACGTGTTTGTCTCCCGCCTCTGACGCACTCCCTGTGTCCCCCTTACAACGTGTTTCTCTCCCGTCTCTGACGCCCTGTGTCCCCCTTACAACGTGTTTTCTCCCGCCTCTGACGCACTCCCTGTGTCCCCCTTACAACGTGTTTGTGTCCCGTCTCTGACGCACTCCCTGTGTCCCCCTTACAACGTGTTTGTCTCCCCCTCTGACGCACTCCCTGTGCCCCCCCTTACAACGTGTTTGTCTCCCGTCTCTGACGCACTCCCTGTGTCCCCCTTACATCGTGTTTGTCTCCCGCCTCTGACGCACTCGCTGTGTCCCCCTTACAACGTGTTTGTCTCCCGTCTCTGACGCACTCGCTGTGTCCCCCTTACAACGGGTTTGTCTCCCGTCTCTGACGCACTCCCTGTGTCCCCCTTACAACGTGTTTGTGTCCCGTCTCTGACGCACTCCCTGTGTCCCCCTTACAACGTGTTTGTCTCCCGCCTCTGACGCACTCCCTGTGTCCCCCTTACAACGTGTTTGTCTCCCATCTCTGACGCACTCCCTGTGTCCCCCTTACAACGTGTTTGTCTCCCGCCTCTGACGCACTCCCTGTGTCCCCCTTACAACGTGTTTGTCTCCCGCCTCTGACGCCCTGTGTCCCCCTTACAACGTGTTTGTCTCCCGCCTCTGACGCACTCCCTGTGTCCCCCTTACAACGTGTTTGTCTCCCGTCTCTGACGCACTCCCTGTGTCCCCCTTACAACGTGTTTGTCTCCCGCCTCTGACGCACTCCCTGTGTCCCCCTTACAACGTGTTTGTCTCCCGCCTCTGACGCACTCCCTGTGGTCGACGCCATCAACAGCCTCCTCGACTCAGAGCAATTTGATATTCTCTGTGTCTCTGAATCGTGGCTGACGCCTGACACTCTGTCACGTTTTATAGTGTTTCCAGGCTATGTCATGGTGAGACGCGACCGGGCCGAATCGACTGAAGGCCAGCGTGTCAGAGGTGGCGGGGTGGCGGTCATCCATAGGGAGGAGATACACTGCCAGGTGCTGTCGACGCCGGTGACCAGCCTGCTGGAGACGCTGTGGGTCTCAGTGTCGTGGCGCGGCGGCCGGCCGGCCATCATTGGAGTCGCATACCGGCCTCCGGCTGGCTCCGTCTCCCAGGCCGTAGACGAGCTCCAGGAGCAGCTGAGAGACGTCCTGGCCAGGGGCAAGCCGACCTACCTGCTGGGAGACCTCAACATCGGCGTTCTGAACGCCCAGTCCTCCGACACCCGGCGCTACAAGACTGCTCTCTCGGAGCTGAACGTGACCCAGCTGATCGACCGGCCGACCCATCTGCGGCCAAACCCATCGGCCCTGGATCACATCATCACTAACATCTCATCATCTCGCGCTGACGTCCTCACCACACCTATCAGTGACCACCAGCCGATAGCAGTCAGCGCACCTATCGGCCGACTCCGGAAGCAGCCGACGGAGCGCACCACTCGGAACTGGGGCCGAACAGACTGGGACGCTGTCTGCTTAGACCTGCTGCTGGCTGACTGGTCCAACTTCGACAGCAACGAGGACGTCAACAGCATGGTCGACATCTTCATGCAGATATGGTGGACAGTCATTGACCGTCACTGTCCGGCGCGCACCCGACGCGGCCGACGCAGAGGCTGTCCGTGGATAACCGACAACCACGAGCTGCGACAGGCCATGCTGGAGCGTGACGAGGCGTACCAGGCGTGGCTGGACCTACACACTCCCGAGTCCCGCGAGGACTACTGCCGCCTGCGGAACTCCGTCAAGGCTCAGCTGGCTCAGGCGCGCAGGGAGTTCCTGGGGCGCCAGCTGCTGGCCTCTGACCGCAAGGAGTTCTGGTCCAGCCTCAGGAGGTTCTACCTGGCGCCCTCCGCTTCAGCACACTCGACTTCAGACAAGAGTGCAGCCGAGCAGCGGGCCCGCGCTGACCGATTCAACGAGTTCTTCGCGTCGGTGGGCTCTCGCATCGCGGCCGACTTGAATGATGACGTCACTGCGGGCCTTGCCCCGCGGCCGCTTATAGTAGTCTCAGCGGCGTTCCGGCTCCAGCCTGCGACCCTACCGGAGCTGGCGCGAGCCGTGAGGCGGATGAACTCGTCTGGGGCGGTGGGGCTGGACGGGGTGCCACTCGGTGCGGTGAAGCGCTGTTTTGATGTGATTGGCCCCCTCCTGCTGCGACTTGTGAATGTGTCCCTAACCAAAGGTGTTTTCCCTGAGGCGTGGAAAACTGCCGAGGTGGTGCCGATCCTTAAGCCACGCGGTGATGTACACGAACCATCTAGCCACAGACCGATCTCACTTTTATCTCACTTGTCAAAAGTTGTTGAAAAGGTTGTGTGTGACCAACTGTTGCGGTACCTATCGGACCACAACATTTTATTTTACAACCAGTACGCCTACCGATCATGTCACAGCACGGAGGACGCCGTGCTCGACGCTGTCGAATGGATCAGCCAGAACTCAGAGCGGGGAGAGGTCTCCTCAGTCACGGCAGCTGACCTCAGCAAGGCCTTCGACAGCGTCGACCACGGCGTCCTCCTGCGCAAGCTGGAGTGGTACGGGATCGACCCGACCTGGTTTGGTAGTTATCTTGGCGGCCGGGGGCAGCTGGTCGGGGGCGGCAGAGCAGTCCTGCCGGTCCCCTGCGGGGTTCCGCAGGGATCCATAGCCGGGCCGATCCTCTTCAGCCTGCTGACGAACGACCTGCACTGCCATCTACCGGACTGTCGGGTGATCGCATATGCTGACGATGCCCAGCTGCTCGATCACTCGCGTCCTGACCCTCAAAATTTAGCATCACTAAAACAACGTGTCGAAAACTCCTTGGATGTCATGAAACACTGGTTTAGCTCAAATTCTCTTAAAATGAACCCTCAAAAGACCGACTTCATTCTCATCGGAACCCGCCAGACTCTCAGCAAGGTCGAAAACTTTCATATCTGCATAGCTGAGTCAGTCTTAAAACCGTCACCAACCATCAAATTGTTGGGGGTGACTGTCGACTCGTGTTCGGCCTGGGACGCCAACATCAGTCACATCGCCAGGAGGTGCAATGCCCTCCTCATATCCCTCTCCAAGTTCCGCCACCATTTTGACCAGGAAACGCTAAAGTTACTCATTGAGACCCACGTGTTCCCTCACATTCTGTACTGCATTTCGGTGTGGGGCGGAACCACAAAAAATCAACTCACTCGGATCCAAAAACTCATCAACTTCAGTGCTCGGATCGTGACAGGCGTGCGGCGTCGGGAGAGGATCGGGCCGGCTCTGGAATCCCTGGGCTGGCCCAGAGTGGAGCGGCTGGTGTGGGAGAGGGACCTACTGAAGGTGTGGAAGGCGCTCCACATACCAGCTTACCCTCTCTCCATCCGCCGCATGTTTGTGTCCCGCTCTGAGGTGTCTAGCCGGGTCACACGCTCTGTAGAAGCTGGCGCCCTGGAGCTGCAGAAGTGTAGGCTCTCTTCCACACAGAGAACGTTTAGTTACCGCGCTGCTGCCGCGTGGAACCGGCTGCCGCCGGCCGTCAGGGAGCAGCCCACGCTGACCGCGTTTCGCCGCGCAGTGGCGGCCAGCGAAGCATGAGATCTTGGGGTGCTGTGTTTTATTCCGGTTTTAGTGCAATTAGTTGTCTTATTTTATCTGCCAGTGCCTATTGCCTTCTTGCATTTTACTGTATTGTGCATGACGCTGAATCCTGAAAAACCATGTTATGTGGATGGATTTTAGATCAATACATACATACATACATACTGTGTCCCCCTTACAACGTGTTTGTCTCCCATCTCTGACGCACTCCCTGTGTCCCCCTTACAACGTGTTTGTCTCCCGCCTCTGACGCCCTCCCTGTGTCCCCCTTACAACGTGTTTGTGTCCCGCCTCTGACGCACTCCCTGTGTCCCCCTTACAACGTGTTTGTCTCCCGCCTCTGACGCCCTGTGTCCCCCTTACAACGTGTTTGTCTCCCGCCCCTGACGCACTCCCTGTGTCCCCCTTACAACGTGTTTGTCTCCCGCCTCTGACGCCCTGTGTCCCCCTTACAACGTGTTTGTCTCCCGCCCCTGACGCACTCCCTGTGTCCCCCTTACAACGTGTTTGTCTCCCGCCTCTGACGCCCTGTGTCCCCCTTACAGCGTGTTTGTCTCCCGCCCCTGACGCACTCCCTGTGTCCCCCTTACAACGTGTTTGTCTCCCGCCTCTGACGCCCTGTGTCCCCCTTACAACGTGTTGTCTCCCGCCCCTGACGCACTCCCTGTGTCCCCCTTACAACGTGTTTGTCTCCCGCCTCTGACGCCCTGTGTCCCCCTTACAACGTGTTTGTCTCCCGCCTCTGACGCTGCCCTGTGTTGCTGCACAGTGTGCTCTCGGCCTCTGACGCTGCCCTGTGTTGCTGCACAGTGTGTTCTCGGCCTCTGACGCTGCCCTGTGTTGCTGCACAGTGTGCTCTCGGCCTCTGACGCTGCCCTGTGTTGCTGCACAGTGTGTTCTCGGCCTCTGTGCCGCATCTGCCGGTCCAGATCCTGGCCGTGACCGACAGCGGCGGTGCCAACGCACTCTTCTCATCTCAGCTGACCCACCAGCTCATCACCGAGGGCAACCACATCGCCGACCGACTGCAGGCCCACTTTATGACCTCCACCTCCACCTGCCAGCAAAAGTCGGCCTTCTACCTCAGCTTCTTCAAGGAGGTGCGTCCTCGGCTCCGCGAAGCAACTTGGCAAAGGGGCACCTGCCGACCTTCGGGGGGCCTGGTGCTAACTTAACCCTCGCCCCGTTGGGGGGGGGGCAATTTGCCCCCCCCCCCCTTTGTGGTTTTTCCTGAATAGCAAGAAAACGGCGGCGCGCAGCGCCGCCAAATTTTCAGTACCTTCCCGTGCATCAATTTGACATCTTCACACCAAATTTCAAGTCTTAGGTCACCTTAGGTCAGGAGTTATTGAGGTCAAACTGAGGTCATGTTCGAGCAAAAATGAGCAAAAAACATGCACTCTTGAAACGCTCACCAAATCTACAGTTACCAAGCAATTTCAAAGTTCTTTACATGGTCTAGTAGACAAAAAGCGTCGCTACAAAACTGCTATCTCAGATTTTCAAAATTTTGGGTTTTTGACCCCCCAAAATTAAAAAAAATTGATTTTTTTTTAGAAAAACTAAAAAAGAAATCCGGATTTCGAAAGTACCGGAATATATGTGATAGTCCCTGCGCTCTTCTATATACATACCAAATTTCAGATCAATATCTCGTTTTTTTTTGCCAAGTTATAGCGAAAAAACTGCAAAAATGATGACGTCAAATTTTTGAACTCAATTTTTAGCGATTCTAGACCACGTAGGGCAAAACAAAGACCACCATTGAACTCCCCATGACGAGCTGCATCGAATCGATACCCATTTAATGCAAAAATATCAACTTTGAAATTTGACCTAATTTGACCTGACCTTGACCTGGCCTTGACCAAAACGTGACCTAAGCTGGCCCCAAAGGCTGCCTGACCCACATAATCGCATTCGTCATGTAAAATGGACCATAAAACATGTATCACACGACACTTTCATATTGTGACCCCCCCGTGACCTGACCTCTGTGACCTGACCTGGTATCAGTGACCTCAAATAGCAAAATATGTGTTTGAAGAACATTTCCCCATCGATGATTTTCAATGAAATGTATTTTACTCGATTTTACAACGCATATCTTGAAATGCCTGTAAACGGTGAAAATTGGACCTTTGACCTGACCTCTTACGTCATCGGTTTGACCTAGGTCAATAAAATTGGGTCACAAGGTAGTTCCCTGATAGGGCTATCCAACACCGTTTGCCGCTTGTCGCTAGGCTGAGTGGTTCTGAAGATTTTAGGGGGGGGGGGCAAATTGGCCCTTAGCGCTGAAAAGCAAGATCCAAAAAATGTTATGCATCATAACTCAAAAAATACTTATCTGATCAGCGTGAAATTGTTACAGGAGGATTCAGAGCCCCTGATTACCCTTGAGACCAATTCTCGTCAAATTTCGAGAGATGAGGGTGTCAAATTGGGAAAAAGTGGTACGATCTATTGTGGAATGCCCCAGCTGCTACTGGGCCGATTGCGCTGAAACTTGGACTGTGGGTGGAGGGGGCACTAACCTGAGGATGCATGGTCGTGTGTCACAGGTAGGGTGGATCGATTGCACGTGTGCACGTGAGGGGTCCACTTATACATCTCAAGAACGGCTGGGCCGATTTCGCTCAAATTTTGTACACTGTATAGGGGACAATTTAGAAAGGTGGCTGGCACAAGTCATCTGGAGTCTCAGCGCGTGCGCACGTGCAGCGGGCCAGTTTATATCTCAAGAACGGCTGGGCCGATTGCGCTCAAATTTGGTACGTTACTGTAATCGAGTATGAGAAGGGTAACTATTTGTAGGTTATGGGTAGGAAGGGGTACTCTATCTATATTATGATTTATAACATGTCTGTGCGTGTGTCAGGCCTTATGTGTCTTATTGCGCCGGAACGGCGCCGCGTACCGGCGTGCAATTTGGCATGCCGAATTTGTGGGCGTGGGGGGCCTTTGTATTAAAATTTGGGCGTGATCGGGCCAGGGGTGCGCCGTCAGCACGCGCAAAAGGGTGCTCTCATAGGGTTAACACGGGGTCGGCGAGACCGGCGGTCGGCCGAAAATCGGGCCGACACGTTTAGCTTTCCCGCTTGATATCTCGGCAATGGGTGGTCGCAGCGAAAAGCGGTTGCGACCATTGGATAGAGGAGAGATGGACCACGTGCAAGGCAAAACCCCCGATTGTGAAAAAATGACCAATTTTGTGCATTACGAAGGAAAAATCGATGCCTCTGGAAACCGGTTTAACCGATTGAAATTAATGTTGTGCCATTTTGCAGGCAAATGTACGTGTACTCAGAGGAAAGGAAATAATAAGTGATGATCCGTACCATTTCCTTGATAATGAAAATTTTATTTGAAAATTTGATTCGCGCGGAGCGCGATGTCCTTTACAACATCAAAACGTATTGAAAACGTTGATAACTGGCTATAAAACCTAAATATCGTGGTGTGTCAGAAGGGGAAATAGCCGCATGACTTTAGTTCTCCAGCCTTGTCAATAGATGGCAGTACCGCAATATGGGCAGCGGATCGTGCAATTGACGTCAAATTTTCGTTACCTGCTAAGAATGGAATGGCGGATCTTGTCATGCAAGAATCTCGTAAATCGGTCCACAGCTTTTCACAACAGGGCTATAAAGTCAAACATCCTGCCAGAGCGGCGGCGCGGCGGCCGGCGCGGCGGCAGCCGTTACGCGCCGCCTGGGAGACTGCCGGCGCGGGACGGTTCCGACCAGGGGCGGAGCTTCCTATACAGTTGGTTGGGCACTTGGTATTTTGCCCCACCAATAAGCGTTTTGCCCCACCAACTTTAGCTGATTTCTTAGACTTTGTTGCCTTGCAAATTAATATTTTTTCGCATTGAATAGCTTTGGAATGTCGTTTGATGCAAAATAATATGCCTTTAATGATAGGAATTGATTCAGTGTGACATTTTATTCAACTTTATAATCGGACATTGTGGGTTTGACGACTTTTGCCCCACCAACTTCCCTGGAAAAGCTTCACCCATGGTTCCGACTTGGCATTGCACCAAAACCTGTCAACTGCTTGGAATATTTATTATATTTTTTTTTCATTCAAGTGAGGAATAATCCAAGGACAGGAAGCATGTATGTTTGTGTGCATACTGTGCAAGCCAAGAAGCTGCATTAGCATATACTCGCTAATATTAGATCCAGCCAAGTCCAAACGTATTCCAGGGGATGTGTTTCTGATGCGTCAACAATATTATCGTTCGAGGGCGGATACAGTTGTAACAATCCAAAAAGTATTTTTGCACAGCTCTATTCCTTGAATAATTATCTTCAACGCCTTATTCCTAGTTAACCTTCAAGGCGGTTGGGGGGGGGGGGCATTTTTTTGCCCCCCCCCCCCCCTTTAGTTTTTTCGATATATCTCGAGAGCCGCTGCGCCGATCGTCACCAAACTTTCAGTACCCTCCCGTGAATAGCTATCACATTGTGACCAATTTTTTTTTTCCAAAGGCTATGTTAGGTTGGCCGCTAATGACGTCAGAGTGACGTGACGTCAGAGTGACGTCATTTTTGTCATTTTCGACCAAAAAAAAAACATTTTCGGTCCATGAGAGTGGACGCTTGGCTACGATTATGTGAGCATTATGCATTTTGGTGTGGCCTTTCCGAAGAGACGAGATTTTCAGCACTGAAGCCGAGGGCACTGCAGCTCCTCTCTTGTACGAGAAGAGGGCAAACATTTGAAGTCGGGCTATGCAACTTGGATGCCCCGAAATGCTCCTGGGCCCAACCTCACCAAGTGCGGTAAACTCGTTTGGGGTAGCCGTAAGTTACCGCACCGAATTAACCCCAAGCAAATAATCCAGTCTCACCAACCCAAACTACCCCATGCTGTAATTTACCGCATTTTGTGCAAATCCTGCAAAAGAACCCCATTTTTTGACGCTTCGGATTGGTGGAAAAGCTGCTGATCACGCCGGCGCGATCTAAAGAATGCAATTGTTTTGTCGCCATGGCAACGATAGCGTGTTTCTTCTTTCCAAGCGGCACCTCAGTTTCCAAGACTCACGGGTGACATCTACATGCTGTTTTGGGTACCTACCTACTGCAAATAGGAAGCATATGTGGCGCAGGTTGCAACAAAAAATTTAAATTCCTTTCTTTTCTTTTCTTTTCTTTCTTAAAGGAAGGGTGCCACCTTTTGGACACAACGCAGTTTTTACAAGATTAGCCTCACATGAACCTAAAAACCGGCTTCACTTACCTATGCTCGAGACGGTCAGCATTGAATCCGCACGTGAAGTTATCATTTGCGAGTTTTGCTGCCAGCATTCGGGCAGGCAAAAATCTTTATTATTATTATTAAACTTCACGAGGCAAATCCATGAAACATGGCTATTCCTAGCCTCAGGTCAATTACATGCAATGGTTGGCCAATGGATGTCACACATACCTACATGAACCTCATACGCGGACACATGCATCACTAGTCACAATTTGTTCACAGTCATCACAGTCGCTATTTGTTCTGTTCCAAAGTGAGCCACTTGAACACCTCTCTTTTAAAAGCAGTGGGTTGCATATCACGCATTGAAGATGGTAGTTTGTTGAATGCAGTCACAATAGAGTATAAAAACCTTCGCCTACCCGACTCAGATAAAATGCGCGATGTCACAAGTTGATCAGAATGCCGAGTAATGCGCCGATGAATGTCGCGTCTGGTGGTAAGACTATGAGAGAGCGACTCGGGTTCCGACGTACATCGAATCTTGTTAAGAAGGGTCAGTCCGTGGTAAAGGTACATGTTCTCAGCTGAGAGCCACTCATATTGCCGTAACACATCATTGATGTGGTCATACTTCCTCCGTCCAGAGATGACACGCGCGGCGAAGTTTAATATCTTTTGAATGCGGCCTAACTGCGTTTTGTTGGTGGACCCATAGACAATGATACAATAGCGCACAATCGACAAGACTAGACCTTCCACCAGCCGGGCCAGGGTCGACTGCGGCAAACAGTGCCGGGAGTGGCTGAGACCACACAGGATGCCGGTGCACCGGCGCACCACGTCATCGATATGGGCAGAAAACGTCAGGTTCTGGTCAAACAGT